AATTTAACAAATTCCTCACCTTGCTTCACATAGCAAAAAATATATCAATATATTAAGGCAAGCTACCTTAACTGATTACAGCCTAATTTTTAACGTAATATGTATTTTTTTCAGTTATGGTAGAAAAGTGGGAAAACTCCTCGCGAATACTTGTTTAATTTGTCTAATACTAAGTTTGTTTGTTTATCAATTTTATTTTTGTAAACTTAGAAAAATAATGTATGTTTGTATTTTCGTTAACTTTTTCTAATTGTTTGGAACCAATTGCATCAACCTTTGATTTCATTTGGATTCGTAGGAGGAAAAATACGACCGCCCAAATTAGGAGTCTACAGCACACATTTTAAAGTTCAGAGCGAAACAGCAAAATTTTGCAACAAGTGGTCCAGTTAAGGTGGAAAATATGCAGTGTTTTGAGGTGACCATCGTTCCATTCGCAAGAATTTCGCAAGCAGGACGATAAATCAAATCGAACGCTTCGATACCTGTAATACCCAATCATTCAACCCTCCATATGTTTCTTAACTGCGGCCATTTGATTTTTTTTGCTCAAATCCCAACACAAAGATCTACTCCAATTACTTTGTACTCAAAAAAGTGGAAAGATTGACCTAAAAGGCAAAGGAGGGGCTAAACAGGATCCTAACAAACTTTTTTCAACCACTATGGCTAAGGTCCCAGGCTGGGACTCCCAGCTAGCAGGCTCAAAGTTACCAGGAACAGCTAGTTTTTCAACGGGAGCACTATTTACAAACGAAAGTAATCGTTTGGATTTATTTTACGTATGGTAAGTGTACCAGTTTTGACACTAGTGGTACAGTTTTGACCCCAGAGCTAAAATCGAATTTGAAAAAAAATTTCATGGTTTTATTTGCGTAGATTTATGACAAAAGATATGTTCAAATATTATATCGAAAAAAAAAAATGAAAATAATGTAAAATGGGGAAATTTAAGATAGGGCCAATTTCAGGACCAATGGGGCCTAAAACTGGCACTACTAACCCTAGTTTTATTTCAAGCATTTATAGAAAAAAAAAATCAAGTTTTTATTAAAGGCAAACGTTAAAATTCATCAACAGAATAGTTCGTTCTGAAATCATAACATTCATTAGTAGACTTACTAAAAGCCCATTGAACAATATTACTGGTTAATAACGCTCTTGATTGGCTTCTGCCAGATTTGCAAATACTAGTTAAAAATCCTTTGGTGGAAATTTCCTTTCCTTTCACTCCTATTAAAATTTTATAAGATCCTGTCAAGCTTTACGTGAAGAGAAGGTGCCTCATGGTGGAGTGAAGAGACAAGACAAAGTTCCCTAAAGATCATTCACAGATTGTTAGATGCTTTTGGGATTTTACCATAGGAGTAAAGAGTTGCAGAGTCCTCAACGTCAATGCTTACTGAGTATGCAACCATAGCATTTCATAAGAGCCAATGTCGCAAACGTAAACAATGGCTTTTTCCGTGAATTTCTCGAGAACGGAAAACCACTCAAGTAAACCACCACTATGATTATGTAGAGGGTGAGTCCCCATATCCTATAGAGTTGGTGGCTTACATGGATTGACTTTGAGCTACGAGAAATTTACGGAAGAAGCCATTGTTTAAGTTTTTGACATTGGTCCTTGTGAACGCTCAGTGTCGTTTTCATGAAAATTTGGCCAACTATACCAGTTATACCACTGAGGCAACACAGAAAAGGGATCAGCTTTTAGTCAGTTATTTTGCATGAAGTTCCACATGACTCACGGTACAGCTTCCTGGCGTGGGATTTGGCCACCGTATTCTGTTTATCGGTTCGGTTAGGCACCTTCCTTACCATGAAGGCCCGCTTCATTGTCTGCTGGACGAACCAGACGGAAGAAGTGACACTCTTGGCCACGTCGCGAATCAAAAGGTTCGGATTACGCTTGAAGTAATCCCTCACTTTCCTTGCGTTCACTGGGTCGGTCGTCTTCGCTTTTCTTCCGCTGCCAGCTCACCGGTGGGTCGTCTGGGTCTCCTTGAACGATTTTATCACACGGGACACGGTCGATTCCAAACTGTTTCGCGATCGACCTGTGGGACTGGCCTGGATTTTCTACGACAGCTCATATCATTTTTTGTTGAAGCACTTCTTACATGGAAGCCACCCATACAATAAAAATTCTTAAACAAAAGAAGGTGCTGCATTTTTTTTTAATTACTTCCTAACCAGACCTCAGAAAAATCACCTTTCCGGAATTTTCCGGTCATAAAATGTATTTAAACGGGTGTACAAGGTGTAATCTGCTGTCATATACATACATACATACACACTTAGAAATTTTTACAGAAATCTGTAAAATTTTACCGAAATCTCAACAGCTGAACGTTCGGTAAACAGTTTTGCAGATTTCCTGTAATTTTTCACAAAAATCTGTGAATTTTTCTCAGATATCTGTAAATAATTACAGGAAAACTGTAAAATTGTTAACCGAACGTTCAGCTGTTGAGGTTTCGGTAAAATTTTACAGAAATCTGTAAAATAATCTTAGAGTGTAGGATTGCATAGAACATGGGACAGTTTTACGCATAACGGTAGTATACATGGACGTGAGAAAGAAAACTCTGTGTTCGTTTATTTGCCTAAATTGGAAAGGGGAATGAATGTTATGATGGGAATAAGGATAAATGCTTCATATGTAAGACGAAGCGTTAACAAATGAATTCCTGCCCCAAGCAGAAGTCCCGCAACGAACCAGAAAAGCAAAACCAGGACGAGGTAGCAGTACGTTCACTGGTGTGGTTTTTGGAGGTGCATCGTTTGATAACAACATCAACGATGCTTGAGGAGGAGGATGGAAAGAGACGTGACAATCCTGGCTGCCGAGAGCACCGAAGAGGAAACGATCGAAAATGTAGCCTGCAAACAACGGGTAAACTACCGGAATGACGAGTACTATAAGATAGGTCTGACATTGTTAAAAGATCACAAAAGGAAAGATGAGGATAGAGTATAATAAAAATAAGAATCGAGTTGCATCCCATGAAGAAGAACCCATAAAAATATGTAAACTTATTTTTTATTTTTTTCTATTTTCAAATTATTCATTTTTATTCGGCTCCGTTGCACTGTTTAGCGACATTTGAGCTTTTTAAATAAACGAACAAAAAAAAACTGGCTTTAAACCTGTCCTTTCCTATTTTTAATGTGTAGTTATCGTCCACAAGTACAACTTTGCTGGAGAAAGTATGTAACTATTTAGTTAGCTGTTATCACATTGGTACAGTCAATCATAAAAGGTGAGCATATATGACCCATCCGTTCCAAAAAAATTAACGAGGGCTGATGATAGAGGACGGTCTTCAAAGTTTTTAACCAGCAATGTATTTAGTATAAGAATCGCTAGGATTTAGGAAACAAAGATAAAATAAATCATTGTCCTTGTCCTACAAAGCTTTAAACCAAACTCTTATGCGATAGCCTTCACACCTACAAAACGAAAAGTTTATATAAAATATCATCATTGCTCTGTGACAGCTAAAACTACCACCATCCCTGTTGGCGTAAAAAATTCTCTTCATGTGTTGTAAAATTTTCCCTAAAATATCCCCATAAATATCTCTTAATACTGCCTCTTGAGTAGATTTATTTAAGCAGATTACACATGGTACACAAAATCACACCGTTCATTGTCGATGCATACTCACTCTCATTCACAGCCAAGGATTGAGGATTGAGTAAGGCATCATCCTAGAGAGCCAGTAGAACCGAGAAAAATACGGAAAGGACGCTACTTCAATAAATAAAGGCAGAGCGAGCTGTGGATTAGCTAGCAGTTTAGAGTTGTTTGCAGAGTGAAGATTATGCTCTAAGGTAATGGTCCTTCTTCTTGAAGCTATTTTGCAGCTTTTCCAGTAAATTTGAAGGCACACCGATTCGGCACGACACATACACAAAAGCGTCTGTAACGCATCGTTGCTGAATGGCGGTATACTTTCAAAGGAATAAACTCTGATAAGTAGCTTGTTAAACGGCTTGGCTCAAGTTTTTCTTTTTTATTTTGAAAATACGCGTTACAGAATGTGCTGCCACACGTGGTGGAGATCTCAGTGCTACACGGAATTACACGAATTGACGATTACGAAAGAGGTATCTATGAATGCGGATTACAGTGTTCCACATATGTTTCATGTTTTCATTTGCTCTTTAATGATCGTAATATAAGTGAGTTCATCAAAATACAGCACAACCGACGATTAACGCGATTCAGCGAATGATGTTAATATAATTTTTAACACAACATAATGTTTTACAACCATGGTTCACAAGGTTTGAAAAATATCTGACTAGCATTTAATTGAATACTATTTCACACAAATAAACAAACAATCATTTCAGCGCATAAATTGAGCTAACTTAAAAAGATAGAGATCACATAAAGGTTCACGTTTTAAGAGCAGTGAGTCCTACAATTACCTGCCGGGCCTTCAAGTGGAGCACAGAAGTGCTCCACTTAATATTGATTACCTGCCTTGTGGAAAGTTACCCAAATGCCCTGAACGTCTCACTAATAAAACCAAAAATTAGTTTTGAAAGTTTTTGCAAATCCACTTCATTAATGTTCCACTGAAACCGGGAAAACCACAACCACACGCACATATATAGTCAACCGGAAAGTTTTTTCCTGGGTGATTTTAAGATTGCAGCTAATGATTTCCGCCTTTGTGCTTGCCGCAAAATTTACATTTCATTTTCTGTCCTATTTAACCAAGATGTTTTAATTTAAATTTTCGAGCGGCTGAAGCAGGGTTGAGATAATAAAATACGCTATCAAAACCAGAGAAAAAAAGTCCAAGCGAATGGAGCAAAATGTGCAAAAGAGAATTAAAACGAAGCGCATTCACATCGGACGAAGCTGGAACCAGGAACATGCCTCGGATGCACCGTAGTAGGAAATTTCTTACTGTTCGTTTATTTCCCATCTGACACTACATTTTTTGCTTCTTTTTTGCTCTTTTCCACTTATTTCACAGTGCCAAGAACCGAGCTTATTGGAGATTCCGACCGGTATGTGAAAGCGGGGAGTGCCGTCATACTGCGTTGCGTCGTCCGTGGTGCCCTGGAGCCACCATCCTACATTATTTGGTATCACGGCACCCAGCAGATTTTCACCGAAAATCGACGAGGCTGGAAAACGCAGCTGGAACGTGGTGCACCGGACTTCGACGGTGACATTCACAGCACTGTAAGAGCCTTATTCTTACTCGAACTTTCGCCTGCCGCTTCTAGATTTATAGTCATCATCATTCTCGATTTTATGTGTCGCTCTCGAGCGAAATTCTCCGTTCAACGCGGAAATTCCTTTAAAAAGTGTATAAGCCACGCTTTATTGCACATGGATTTTGCAGCTAGTTTCCCACTCTAGCTCGATTTTATTCCTTCCAACTCCAAGCACCTACCGGTACTCAATGTGCAGATTCGCATGCATGTAAAGGCTGAATTGAAAGGAGATGAATAGTGAAAATCTATAAATATTCAAAAACCTTCACTTGCATCGATGCAAATCTCTGAATCTATTGGAGTGCGCAGATGTATAATGGACAGTGTGGAACGAATGCTTTGTAACTCGTGGAACCCAGCTCGATTCTTTGTTATATGTGCTCATGCAATACGCAGAAGTATTGGGCAAAAGCTTTGACAATACACTTCTATATTCATCAAAACACGTAAACCGAATTGGAATTGTTTTCGATGTATAATCATTATGATAAAATAAACCAACCGTGTAGATGCATTTCAAATTACTCAGGAATCCAGTTGGGGAACATGGCATTCATGACGTAGCATTTGACGGAGGTGTGAGGGATTTAAAATCGGTGAATAGTATGCTATTACATTTGTGAATGATTTCTTACGTACAGGTCAGTGAAGGTGACCGTGTTGATAATTAAAAAAAGATTACGTGGTCAAGAATGATGAGTTTTGATTGTGCCATATAACAGATTTTCCTAGCAAAATCGTATGAAATAATCGAATAATTATACTATTAAAATTACTCCACAGAAGTTAAACTTTTATTTAACTTTCCACCCCCTAAACGTGTGTTATATTTAACTTAAGGATAGCCCACAAAGGTATGTTTCTCCAGGAATATCGACGGTCCGAAATCCACCTAAATAGATTGCTGCAAATGTTCGCTACTCATGTTTAAAATGTTTTGATTATTCAATAGAAAAAAATAAATTCCAGCAACCTTTTTGTTTCACAGCACTTTCTTGAAAACATTAAAGTTTAAAAAGCGGGTTTAATAAAAACAGTAACTTCCAAAGCATTTGTCAGCAATGAAAATCATCGATTGAATTATTGACAAAAAAAATCAAAATGTCAATTATGTACTAAATCTATATCGTACCAAATATTAATGTTTTCAAGAAAGTGCTGTGAAACCAAAAAGATTGCTAGAATTTTTTTTTTCTATTAAATAATCAAAACATTTTAAACATGAGTAGCGAACATTTGCAGCAATCTATTTAGGTGAATTTCGGACCGTCGATATTCCTGGAGAAACATACCTTTAGGGGCCATCCTTAAGTTAAATATAACACACATTTAGGGGGTGGAAAGGGGAAAGAATCGTGACAATGTATGCCATGTGGTGGAGGGGGACATCACATTTGTTTAGGTTTTAATATGTATAGAAAAATGTATAAATTAATATATCTCATTCAGAAACATACCAATTTTCCAGCATATTTCAATCCTTAACGTGGAAATTTACTGTTACACAGAAAAAATTCTGAATTTTAACCATCGCGTAAAATCTCCCTTCGTTCAATTTTGAGCTATACTTGGCATAAACAGCTAAATTGTTCATAAGCTTGCATACAATATTGCTAATTTATGAGATATTACGCTTAAATTTACTCGAAATATCGCGTAAATTTATGCCAAATCTAGCGTTAATTTTATGTGCGCTATATCTCGCAGAAATTTACATGAATTTTTCGAACGGTGTAGGAAATTTTACTTTAACAGTAATTTATAATAGTGTAGAATTGGTTATCTACACTTCAAGAGTTTCTTATCTTGTAATTTTGGACAAATATTTCAAATAAGAGAAATACAAGTTGGTGTTAATAAGCCTGCTTTATAAAGGGTCGACATCATGCACCAAAGCCAACTCACGCTGGAAGTCGTGGGTTTAAATCTCTGCAATGGACAAGTTACAAAGGACTACAAAAATAGGTAAAATTAAAATACAGATAACTCTCCATATCTTGATGTGCTACATCTCAATTTATTTTAAGGGATTATCACTTTTAGTACATTAATTGATCTCTATTTCTACATATTTTCATCTTACCGTTAATTGATGGACACAAGAAAGCAGAGGTGAATAATGTGTAGAGTACTTTTTTTTTTTTATTATACATATGTACACACTTAAAAAATCTGAATTTTACTGGTGATGTAAACATCCATGCATGCAAACATTCATGCATGTAAGCTTCCTTTTCACGTAAACTAGCAGCTTGCAAGAAATGTTGCAAACAAAGGTGGAAAGTTGCATACAATATATGGAATATTGCATGACATGTCTCATAAATTTACATCATTTATAATGTAAATTTGTATGATTTATGACGCTCCATTTATGTGCATCATAGAAACGGAAATTTACACTACTTGTTTTTAGCTGTGTAATATCTGACATCCTAAAATGCATGTCACTTCTAATATCGATGAACTTAGGTCCAGTCTCCAAGCATAGTTTTCTAAAGTTTTAGCATAAATCTGATTTCGAAAGGAAGTTGAATGAAGTTTCCCATGAAAATATTTACTTTTATTGATTGAAACCACTTTTTTCTAAAAAAAAATCCGTTCTAAAATAAATAAGAGATCATATAATGGTTAAGATAGGCCGATCGTATAAAATCATACTCATTCTTCTTCTTCTTCTTATTCTTCTTCTTCTTCGAACTTCAAGCTTATTGCTAATCGCATATTAGCATATTGCGTGCCCTCAGCTTAGTGTGCATCTTCCACAGTTATTAATTGAGAACTTTCGATGCCTGGTACCATTTTTGCATTAGTATAATTGTGTGGCAAGTACAATCATACTCTATCCCCAGGAAAGACGAGAAATTTTCCAACCCGAAAAATTCCTAAACCGGACCGGAAATCTAACGTACCAACCTCCAGTATGGTCTTGCCTTCAAGCTGCGCCTTTACCGACTGAACTAAGGGATGCCCCAAATGAAATCCAACCATCTGTTTAAAGAAGGAACATAAATTCTACCTTGACAAAGCCGATGAATTTGGTCCTTTATTTTTTTCATTTATAAATTATTTTAAGGTTTTGAGAATGGTTACTAAGGAGGCCACCATAAAGCCCTTCAGTAAAAGTATGGACCTCTGTCGAAAGTTGTTCTAATCGAACCGTCAAAATGCACCGCTTTGGTCTATTGGAACAGCTTTTTTCAGTTTTGTGGTGACAGTCGTCCATACTTTAACTAGACGGCTTTAGGCCACCCATGATGAACATCAATATGGAAGTGTGGCGTTAGAAACATTCTTCAAAAAAAAAAACCGGTAGCCGGAGTATCCTGAATCCACAATATCCCATTCAGTACAAGGGCGCATTACCAACAGGCCTGTCATGCTGGTTACTCATGGTTACTTCATAATTAATCAGGGGCAACATTGCGCATCTCGAAACAAAATACTTTTTGTATGAACACATGTATGAAAAAGTTTTTCGTTTCGAGATGCACGATATGGCCCAGCTCCGAAACCAATTTGATTTTATTAATAAATACCTACTACATGGGCGCAGACAAATCGATCTACATGCACTTTAAAAAAAAATCTATGCATCAAAATACGTACGAGAATTTTTGGACGCCCATCGGTCATAAAGTCAAAATTGTGTTGCAAACATATAAAACATAAAGTAGATTCATTAGCTGCGCCGGTGGTGTAGTCGTAAGCGTGATTATCTCTCACCCCAGCAGGCTTGGGTTCAATCCCAGTTGGCGCCGCCGGGATGTTCTGAGGCATAACATCTCTGATCACGCCTTCCTTCGGACGGGAAGTAAACCCGTTGGTCCCCGGTTCATGAGTTGATGGGTTAATAGGTGGTAGGGTCCAGGTGTGAAAGCTGCCTCCCTGGCGTCGGTAGCATTGGTGCTCAGGACGGAAAACAAGATCGACTGAAAACAATTCAAGGATAAAAAATAACGTAGATTCAATCAGGGATTTAAAACGAAGCTTTGCCATGGAATATATCAAACATCCAAACCAGTTTTTCCTGGTATTCTTAAGACGATTTTCATAAGAATCATATGATAAGCAAATTTCGAAATGAAAATTTCGTGTTGATCAGAGATTATTAACTTCAAATATCTTTAATAAACTTCAAATAGCTTCGAGAATGTAATGTGAGCCTCAGGATAGTTCCATAAGCATCTTGAGTATTTAAGGAAGTTCTGAAAACTTCAGGAAAATTTTGAAACACCTTAAAAAATAAAAGAACATTACAGATGTTCCAAGAAAAAGTCCATCATTTTTCATACAAGTTGGAAGTCCCATGAACTTCAAGATAATTGCGGGACCTTTAATGAAGGTGTGAAAACTTCTGGAAAATTTAGGATGCTTTATTTGAATACCATTAAAGACAGAAAAAGATGCGGGATCCTTGAAGAAGCTCTGATAATTGCTAGGAAATTCCCAAGAATTTAAAAAAGTTTCAATACCTTGAAGGTATTTCCGATAGCTTCAAGAACGTTCAGAACTGCGGTAAATTTCCAAAGTTTCAGGGCTGTTTTATAGATTTCTGGAAAATTTATAGAGATGACCATTAGCTTCAGAAAAATTGTAGAAACTTTACAGAAGTTTCTAAAACTTCAGTTGAGTTTAAAGATCTTAAGAAAAGCTACGTAGCTTCGGCCAGGAACTTTAGAGAAATTCTGAGAGCTTCAGGTAAATTTCGAGAATTTTTTGGTAGTTCAGATGTTCCAAAAATTTAAAATAGTCCACAGAACATCAGGGATAGATAACTTATAAAACATGTTGGAAAATGTACAGAAGTTGCCACAGATTCAAAGTAATTCAGAAAACGTCGGGATGTTTGGACATTTTAAGAACAGTTTTCATGTTAAATCAAGGAACATCACCAGAAAAGTAAGTGAGGTAGACAAAAAAAATAAAAGGAAAACCATGAATTTTTGGATGTTTGGTAAACAG